ATTTACTTCCTCCGCATTACCACGTTTGATACTTTTTCTGAGGCATAAAGTGACCGAATTTTTCCATAATTTTGAATTAAATTCTCACTGATTATCGTACATTTGTAGAGAAGAGTGTACGAAGGTGGAATCTATTATTTTGTTTTCATGCTCAGTTCAAATTTAGTAGTCAATGAATTTATCTGGTCAAAATTTGTACAAACAAAAGAATGACCACAACCAGTCTCCTTCTGACGGGTCAGATAAGCTGGAAAACTGGTTTGTAGCTTGTTTATTCCCATAAGCACTCGTATTATCACCGTGGGTGATAAAGAATCCTTTAAGAACAAGTTGCCCGGGTTAGAGAGCACACCGGAGTGCAATTAGCCCATCTGCGAACCAATCCTTTGCATCCGTTCAACAACAACAACAACAACAACAACAACAACAACAACCAGTGCCCAATTGTATCCTTTCTAACAAACTGGACTTTTTTCTTTAACTTTTAGTAATATCTCTGTGTGATTTTGCGGTACCTATTTGTCACTGGCAATATGTAAAACTCACGTGAAGCGGAACATTCTGAGAATCGGTGATCATAAAACGTCCGCACCGGAACACACTTCGACGGTCTCAGTTGCACAATATGCAGCATTGATGATGCCATGAAAAATCTCGAGATATGTGTACTATCACATAATCAGTAATTACATCAGGGATTAGCGATCCACATAAAACGATTGAGTTTGAATCATACGGTAGTTCCTTCGATGAATGTGGTAGTATGTGTCAAAATAAAATCTTATCTACGTGTGAAATATGAGGACATAAACGCCCGGTCCGGGAAAATGTATGATCTATTTACTGATACGTGTCAAGATACAAAAAGATAGAAAGAGAGCAATTATGTATTTTCCACACTTTCCTTGCGAACAGGCATAATGTACCTTCCTGTATCAGGTGTTATGGGTTAGGTGCTCTAGCCTCAGTCAATGTGATGTTAGGGCCGATTTTCAATGTATATTTAGTGAGTATTAGTAGTAGCGGCATTGCATCATTCACATCGGGAGTTAAAGTATAAGAATGACCAGACAGAGGATTACCAGATACGCATACCTGAGTAACGGAAAGAATCGCGAAACCGGTCGTGTGCTTCTGGGAGATGTTGTCTAGTCATTCATATACTACTCGTTATATAAACACTAAAAATGCACCTTTTTTGTGTGCATTCCCATTGACTCTTGGAACTGTGTTGTGAATGATTGATACGCCTCGAGTTCTGCCCCCACTACTCATATATGTTTCTGTCATCTGTAGCTGGACAACGCGGACGAGCAGGCTGCACAAATCCGTCGTGA